TATTGTTGGCTCTTTTCCGCGACGCTGATTGGTTCTCTTGCTGCGCTAACTTCATGAGCGGTTGTCATTGCATTGACTTTTGACAGTTGTATGTATTGAGGTTGATGTATAATTTTAGTTAATCAATATAGTAAAAAGCAAATGTGCAGTTAAATATCGCGCACAGAGCGTGCGTCTGTAGTGCTAGTATTGTAAAAGAGAGGTGTCGTGTGGAGTTCTTTAAGAATCAGTGTTGGAATCCCTATTATAGAATTGCACCATGGGACCTATGACATCGTTCTCTGAATTGCTCTTCTGCACAGTTGTCTGCTACGCAGACGATATGCAGGTGCTGGCCGAAAGAAGGAGATACGGGCATCACAGCCAATTGGATTGTGTGCTCCATAGAAAAGCTGAGTCTGGAAATAACTACATAAAAGACACTCTTTTTTTCAAAGATGAGTTTTGGAAAAAGCGAAGAGTCGACTCGTATTCATGTGAGGTCCATGATTAAATACCTGAGTCTCACACTGAATACCATATGAGGGTTTGGCAGCTACTTATAGCTGCTGACCCTCAAGATAGATAGACGCGCTGCCTCGTCTCCTGACCAATCTAAGAGATTCGGATACCACTATTAGACACCTTTACGCTAATACATTATGACCAGGACCAAGTATAAGACCTGGGTTTGGGCAAACGAGATAGAAGCCAATAGATGTAATAGATAGCATGGGCGCAGGCGATGAGGGGAGGGCACAGGGGAGAGGGGCGGAGCCCCTCACCCTACCTATTACATAACTTAATATCATAATATCTATTATAGAAATAGAAAATAAATCTTTTAACGAGTGCTAAGTTAAAACAATGTGCTTCTACTAATGATTCATGATACGTTTTATCTTGCGTAGGAGTCTATCTAATCTTTTCGATATCATTTTTAGTATATTGTAGACTCATCCATTTAGTAAGAAGATTTGATAGATATATAATATATGTATATATATTTAATTATTTTTGCGAACCAAGATCTGTACTGTTTCACATATGAATTTCTGACTCTGCACGCGTGGTGAGATATAATACGATAAAAATTGCGTTTTATTTATGAAACATTTTTTGTTAATAACTTAAAACAGTGGCTAAAAATTTTTGAAGGTTACTCAGTTGATAGTATATGTCAAGGTCAAGGCCATTAAAGGTGATCGAAATATTT